TATGTATACTTATCATATTCATATTCCAAATGCATAATGTGAATCTCTACACATATAATGCAAATTTTGCAATGTAAACTGTAACAAACCAGAAATAAATTAAAAATAATGTACAATTGCATACAAAATAATTTCTATACATGCTTAAAATTTAAAAGGTAGTCTCACCAGATTTTCTAGTCCTGCTATAATAAATAGTAAAATAAATAATAATTCAATCAGGATTAAAAATATTAATAATAATTGATTTAAAAATTAATACTGTTACTATAGTTTTGATAAAGCACTCGACCCATCAAAAAGAGCAGGATCCATTCTTCTAAAATCAATCTCAATGTCTTTCATTGGAAGATACTCTCTACACAGCAACAATAACTAAAACACTAATTAGAGGAATTGACCCACCTGCACGATATCCCAGCTTCACTCAATAGCTTTTGAGAGTAAGTGGTCTCTGAGCCATCACACTGCCACTTGTTCATGTAATGGACATGACTCATACGAGACTGGATAATAAGTTGAGCACATTTGTTGCATGGATAAGTCACTGTATATAGAATGCAGTCATTAAGATTGTGCCTGTTTGCCCATACCATGGCATTGGAAATGGCATGACACCCTAAAAAATAAAAAACTATAACGGACATAATGTGTACATGTACATTTCCATGCAAATTTTCAGACACTATTACATTATTACACAGTAGCTTAATATAACCATATTTGAAAAGATATACAATGTACTTATAATAAGGATAATTAATTGAACGATTACAGTCAAACCTCCGCAGAGCGGACACTTTGGGAAGTCAGCTATTGTCCTTTATTCAGAGGTTGTCCTCTTCTCAGAGGTTGTGTTGTGACCTCCCCGTTTCAGAGATCAGGTTTAGGTCAAGCATTAAGCTATAGCTACTGTATAATCTATAAATACTAGGCCTAGCATCATTATTATACTATAATAACTGTTCTAAGTGTTCTTATTAATTTAATGATTACTATTAACTTTAATATTGAGGGTGTGGCTTTCCATATTTCCGGAAATGTCAATTTACAGAGGTAAAATCACCATGTTTAGAAGCTTCTTTGTGCTTGTAAAACTGTCCGCTGTCTGGAGTTTAGAGGTGGTCACTTCTGGGAGATTGCTAATGTACAGTAAGATGGGCTATTTTCATCGGTGAC